TATCGTAAAATATATGTTAAAATTAGAAGTGCCTAGTAAACATATCCTATCAACCCTTTCAGCCGGCTGCGTGTGAGAGAGAGAGCGAGAGAGGACGGATGAAAGGATAGACGGCAGCAATGCATATATTTTACGGCTAACGCTCCATTAGGAGCGTTCCCAACTTTAATAACTTTTATGTCGTGATATAGGTTTCAAGGGGAGGCTTAACCTAACCCTAACCCTAACCCTATAACCATTAACGTATATTGTATATTTTCGGCAATCAGCAGAGCGTCCCGTTGTGCAATCATGCGTGTACGCGAGTCGCGCGATCACTGTGTGAGTGGATGTCTGGATGCGTAGCCTGGAAGCTAGGCGACTGGTTCCGGACGCGTAGCCACTGTGTAATATATATATATATATGCAGTTTTTACCAGATTGTAATTCACATACTACACAAAGATCAGCCTCCTTAGGAATCAGCAGCTGAACCTATATTCTGTGTTGACAGTCTTCATAAACAGAGTGGACACCTCTTCTTATATTATTGTTGCAGTTGTTATAACAACACATAGGACAGCTGTTACTTTGGCACGGTTGTGAGTGTATTGTGGAATGATTTCATGGTCTGTTTGTATTTTTCAGTTGTGCCTGATGCTTAGGTTTACGGCTACATCATGAGTACATTTTGACATCTCGGGGCAAGGTGAGCAGGAATGCACAATCTGGGATTATTAGGTTATATCATTACCATGAGTTCTTATCGGCTTTCATCAATGTGTTTGGCATCTTTGTTAAAATAATAAATGATTATATTAGATAATTTGATGATAACTATTAGAGAAATCCTTTCCTAGTTTGCATCAGTTGAATAACCGACTGTTTTCAGCGTGCCCAATCTTGAGATTGGTCAACGAAACTGGGAAATCTGCAGTTTGGGGAGCACGATCTTAATTAAGATAGCGCAAATTTCAAGTTTGGGTACAACATATACATACAAGATGAGCCACTATTTGTTAGTCTACGACAAGTAGTTCTCTAACACCGCTGTGGTATTCTTTTATTAGAAACGATGTCTTCGAGTGTATCAATATCAATGGAGGCAAGAGGCGAACTGGATAAATATGACATAACAGTTATTGTTATTTACTTTGGACTGGTTCTTGGAGCTGGCCTACTGGTACGTGATATATATCTTTCTCTAGCTTTTCTCTAGTTTTGGCAATGCAATCTCAGTGAGCCAGTATTGTGAATTTAAACTGGTACTGGTAGTGGTGAATCTCCCACCCTGGCCTGTATGAATCAATCAGGGTGCTTAAGCCGGGCGCACACGTGGCGATTTTTATCGACAGTACGAGAGAGTACAGTACGACAGAGAAATCGCCACATGTGCGCTGCACGGCGTCACCGATTTTGACACGTGTGCGCCCGGCTTTAGGCTTACGTTCCTTCTACACTTACACTTACACTGTGAATTCCCATGCCATTGCAGTCTATGTTGCGTTCCAATCGTGGCACCGTGAGTGGATATTTCCTGGCAGGCCGCATGATGATATGGTTGCCTGTGAGTATGAATCTACGATTATAATGAGAAATTGTTGAATTAGCATTAGTGTCTTTGGATAGAAATAATGAAAGTAGGAGTATATTAGTAATTTCACTAGGGTTAGTAAGTAATGATAATTTCCTATAAACGTCTTTCAGAAGATATTCAAGTATTTTTGGTCGGATTTTTGATATTACTATTAGTATACATTGCTCGGGAAATAGATCAACCATTCAATAAATTATACTACCGGATCTTTTGTTCAGGTCGGTGCATCGATCTTTGCGAGCAATATTGGAAGTGAACACTTTGTGGGCCTTGCTGGTTCGGGAGCAGCATCTGGATTGGGTGTAGGAGCATTTGAGCTGAATGTAAGTATATTCCATATAGGGAAGGTACATGTCACAGGGATGGTATAGCCTCTGCAGAGGCTCATATACGAAGAGGCTAAAGTGCCTTGCCTAGAAAAACACGAGAAGTAGTAACCTGACTTTACTGGACTTAAACTCGAGACAACCGTGCACCGGCCATAATTCAGCTGGTTTATTATCAGTAGCAGCAACAATGTGTAGCAGCATCGTAATATTTAGATGCTTTAGGCTCTGCTCTGGATGCCAAAGACATGTCCAATGTCTTTTAATAACATCAATACATAGGCATGATATCAAGAGCTAATAATAAATTAAGATACATAAGATTAACATGCATACATTCAATAAGGTATTATTAGCTTTTGTTGATGTGAACGCTCTCAGATACATAGGGAGTGCAGGCAGGGAGCACTAGTAGATCCAGCAACACACTCACCCTGTAGATTCTACACATATATTTAAATACAATGGTGTATACTTTCTGCTCATTGCGGTGAGCTGCATATATGCCAAGATTATCGCAGCTAGCCTGGTTATAATCCTTGTTAATTTTGTTTTAGGCTTTGGTCGTCGTCCAGCTCCTCGGTTGGATCTTTTTGCCAGTATATATAGCATGTGGGGTATGTCATAAACCAAGAATGTTCTGGGGCCCGTTGTCAGAAATAAAATTGGTCTTAACATTAGTCTTAACATGAACTTTTTCTCTTAGACCGACAACAGAAACGCTGCGAAGTTACGAGAATGAAAAATCGTAGCAGATTTCCTCATAACAATACGAAACAAAGTGATGTCGACGGTCTACGAGAAAATGTTAGTGTTAAGACTAATGTTAAGAGTAATTTTGTTTCTGACAACGGGCTCCTGGTTTCCAAGATCTCATTCCTGTTAGTGCAGTGTTAAATGTACATCTCAGACTTGTGGCAATTGCTCTTATATATACCTGCAGAAATGTTTATGTTGTAGAACAGCATCTAGTAATGGGTTAACCCTTACCAATATTTATTTTTGATGAAATCATTATTCCTACGTTGTCCCGCTGTATGCGTAAAGTGCTGTTTGTTGGTATTTAACCATGCCAGCACCAGTGTATAACTCCCTACAGACAAAAAGGGGTTGTTCTTTGCAACTTTACAAAACTGACCTAGGTAATGAGTGGAAATAGCACTGTCAACATAAGTAATTCGATTTCGCAAATTTAAATTCTGCAGGCAAGCACATTACCAGAGTACATGCACATGCGCTTTGGTGGGAAGCGACTGAGAGTGTACTTATCATGCCTGTCAATGCTTCTCTACATCTTCACTAAAATATCGGTGAGTAACTTTGACATTTCAGGAGTTTTAACATGCTGTTTGATTGCACTCGTCCTATCCTCTCTAACACACAAATTACTGTTCGTTCTATTTTCGAACTGAACTCATACAGAAGCAAAAACTAAAGTCATAATCTTTCTGCAATAAAGAAATAAACTTTAATTTGAGTTATATAACTATGTTGCTAAGCATTCTAATTTAACACTAACTAAATTAAGGTCTTCGAAAATAGCAAGATGTGGCATTGATTACTGAGAAGGGAGCGCATGGGTAATCAATCTTAAACATTTATTTTTCAGGTGAACCTTTTTTCTGGTTCGATATTCATTCAGCAATCATTGGGATGGAACCTGTACTGGTCTATCTTTCTTCTGCTAGGTCTCACAGCCCTATGTACAGTAACAGGCAAGCTTACATTTTCTTTCTGATTTGTGTAGTACTTTCAGTCTATACTATAATTCTTGTAGGTGTGTACATGTACAAAGCAGTTAACTCACTAACCTACTAACAAAATGTTTTTTTCTCACGAGTCTTTTGTGCTTGCAGTAGTTTTGGGGATGTGATGTAACTCTATATAATCCCGTGCAAGGAACAGTGTGAAAACAGAATGTTTTCCATTGATAGCATCAGCTGGATTGAGATTCATAATGTGGTTAGTTGAATTTGTTTGTGTTTGGTCAGTAATGCTAATTATTTCTATTGTAGTTTCTACATTAAAATACCTATGAATCAGTCTGATATGGAATCATGCATGAACGAATATCTTACGCTAAGGCCTGCCTTAAACTAAGCTCTCTGTTGGGTGTTCTGTACAGTCTAGAAAGAAAACTAGATATGATGTTGTAAGAGCACAGTAAGTGGTTCACTAATGGTTTCTTATTTTGACAGGCGGCTTAGCAGCTGTTATATACACAGACACTGTTCAGACTGTTGTGATGCTCGTGGGTGGCATAGCCCTGATGATTACATGTATGTATATGTTATACGCAGGTAACATTATCTAAGTAGAGACACATGGTTGTAACACCCTTGGCAAAAATCTTATTCAAGAATATATCTCAAAATCGAAAAAGGCGCCATTTTGTTTGTATGCAGTTATGACATTTCATGGGTGCTTCACTAAAACATTGCTGTTTCTCCTCATCACAATATCACCAACTGCAGATATGCGTTGTGGCTGCCATTCTCTCACTGTTCTCATGATATTCTGCATCTCACTGTTTAAGCGTTTGTAAAGATCGGAGGTTGGAGCTCACTCATAGTGCAATATATGGAGGCCATACCGAATACGACAAAGTTGGAACATGGTTCCACACACCACACAGACTGCGGCATGCCAAGGGAAGACTCGTGGTTAATGTTGCGCAACCCCATTGACTCCGATATTCCGTGGGCTGGTTTTATCTTTGGTCAGACAATTGCCTCTATCTGGTACTGGTGCACTGATCAAGTAAGGATCTAGAGGTTTTGCTATTTAATTTCTGTGTATGTGTGTGTGCGTGCGCGCGTGCGTGTGTGTACAAATGATATCATATAGGTGGTACGGTAGCTCCTATTCCTCCTCCCTCCTCCCTCCCTCCCATCTCTCCCCTTCCCTCTTTATCTCTGTCTCCCTTTTTCACTCTTGCTCTCCTTATCTTATCTTACTGTCATCTTCCCTCACCAGTTACTGTATTGGAACCAAAGTGAGGAAATCGGCATTTCACATTTAATGTACATTTGTTCCACAACCATGATTTATTTAACAGATACAACATTGCTACTGCTACAACACTACATAGCAGGGTGCGAAATTAACGGGAGTCCGGAGTCAAATACTCCCTGATTTTCTGTCCGACTCCCTGATTTGACATGTGCAGGAGTCCGTGTGACTCCCTGAAAATTCTGTTATACTAACTAGTTCGTTCCAGAGCACGACCTCGCGGCATGTTTCAGTAAATGCCCAAAGAAAATTCGGCAGACGTTCAACCGCATAAATCTTCAAAATATGCATATGCGTTATTGTTAATACAATATATTTAACAGACTGCAGACTCCCTCATTTTGCTGCGGACTCCCTCTTTCATAGGGTAGGGAGTCCGTTAGACTCCCTTGTTCAAAAGTTAATTTCTACACCTGACACAGTCATATCGGCAAGTGTCAAATTAAAATTTTAATTGATTAATTAATATGATTGATTAAAGCAAGAGCTAATAATACCTAGAGTGTACAACGGAAAAACGGGAAAATAGTGCTATTTCACGACAACATTATTCTACTTTGCCTGCGAGTCTAGAATAATTTTATGGTACTGCATTAAGCAGAATTCTTTGCTCTCTAAAACAAGACCAACCGCTTGTCAATACGATACTCCTAGGCTGAGATATTGGCTCCTAAACCTACCCTCCCACATGCCTCACGCCGCCTCGCATCCCGGTTATCAGCTACCTCAACGCCTCTAAGCATTTTGGCTATCGGTTTCCGTCACCGCTTGGAGCGCTGATAATTGATGTCTTACTCTCTGGCAATTATATGGAAGCGGATGAATGAAAAGGTAGAACTGAGCTTGTAGCTTTTTTTGCTATCGTACGATCTCCGTACTTGCATGAAATCTACAGTCTATACAGCAAACAGAGTTAGTGATAGAGTGGCATCCAGAGTGGCTGTGCCTGCCTTCATGTCCACGACACATGCCAATACATATACTACGTCTAAATTATCAATGAATTAATTTATCAATACTACATTTAAATTATTATTATTAGCAGGAATAAAATGACAACTGTCCTTATTTTACTTCTGATATTAGTTTACTGATACAGTTTATATATACATACATATATATATATATATATATATATATATAATGTTGGAAGAGGAATAACCATTATTTATTTTTGTCAGGGGTGCTTCTATGGGCTCCTGGTTGGGTTCGTTGTTGGAATTACACGCATGATCATAGACTTCTACTACAAAGTTCCGACATGTATGGAAAAGTGGACCGATGGCGACCCACGCCCTGCGTTTGTGAAGAATGTGCACTACATGTACTTTGCACTGATCTTGTTCTGGCTGACCATCACCACAGCAGTCATCGTCAGCTTACTGACCTCACCACTTCCAGCAAAACATGTGCGCATCATAGTTTTTTGGTGTGGCCATTTGGTAGAACCAGGGGTGACAAATGACAAATGTCATTATGTCATTTGTCAAATGTCAAATGTCATTTGTCAAATGTCAAATGTCATTTGTCATTATTCACCCATGGAGTTCACATTACACTGAGAAGCTCAATCCTTCACAGAATGCAGTGAAATTCTATCACAAATGCATGCGCAATTGCCTGTCGAGTAACGTATTACTAATATTTCTGCTGGTATGAACCATGTGAAGGATATTTTGCAGATGATGGTTAGCTCCAGCTGGTAACATTCAACTAAAAAACTTTCTAAAAATAAAATAAAAAATGTCTCGTCTAGTAAGCTAAAAATCTTTGTCTTTTGTGTTGCTTGCAGTTGGTGAGAACGACATACTGGACTCGAAATGACCATCGCGAGATTGTTGACGAGGATCACTTTGATGAGGCAGCAGGTATCCACGACAACGAACGCGAACAACCGGGAATCCCGATGGAAGAAAAAAACAAAACAGAAAGTACGTGTATGTGTGCCTGTTCTGTAACCATGTTCTTTAATTTCGTCCTTCATTTTATGTGAAATTACTTCGTAAGGGCTATGTAATAGCATTGACATCGTTAGCATCCATAGTTTTATTGAGAGTAAACACATTTGGTTGATAATTTGGTATGGCAATCAGAATTGGTGGGGTAAATTTTATATTTCAGTCTTTTAATATAACGTGGTGCAAATATGAGAGGTGTCTTTTCTCACTTATTTACCCATAGCCTTGCGTTAATTTGCAGTTATTTGAAGTCACTATTATTTTGGAGGGTGATAATATAATATTTTAATATCAGTTTTCCTAGGATATACACTATATTATGTACACTCACAGCTGAAGAGTCAGACATGATTCAAATGAAGATGTTTCCCTCAAACCTTCTTGTTCTATTGTATCAAGATGATTCAATATGATTGTATGATTGTATATAGTAATATATATAGGTTGCAATACAAAAACCCGATTACTATTTTAGCAGTGGACCAAGAAAGTTCATCACCAGTTGAACATGATTACGTAGCACCAACGTTTCGTAAGTGACGTAATTTGTTAAACACGCAATTGCTTAATTATTATACATTCTTTACTCTTTGAGATATATTAAATCGAGACTTTATTTTGCATCAAGAGGATATAAATTCTAAAGTGAACAACGATAAAAACTCATCTTCTTCAATACGTTCTTAGTTTCAGTCGAACTGAGTGAAGAAGTTATGCATGTAGTTTAAACAATGCACTACTTTATTAGTAATGGGGTTGGGGGCAGGTGCCGGCGTCAGAGCTGCCATGTTGTTTGCGTCAGAGCTGCCATGTTGTTTGCGTCATTGCTTCAGGTCGTCGTTACGTGAAACCAGCCTGGGACTGGTTCTGTGGCTACGACTACTCGCCCGCGGGAGAATTGAGTCAAGCGGAGTTCCGGCGCCACCTACACAAGCTGACGTCACTGAAGCAGGACCCGAGGGCCAAGTGGTTCCTAAATGTGATGCTTGTGATCGTTCTCGCAGTTGCATTGTTCCTTTTTGTCTTTTTCTCAATTCATGCTGGTGGTCGTTAAATCGCTTGTGAAGGCGTTCACCTATCGAAAGCCAACTACGATAGTTGGCCTATTCATCGTGCCGGCATTTGTTAATGGTACTGGTATATGCTCTATGCTAGACTGTGCCAGACGTTCCCCTGTTTGTCAAGTATCATTCTAAATGAATTGCCAATTTTTAATTGTCTAATTCTCTTGGTTGCAATGTGGAAGGTCAGATTCATCAACATGCATACTAAGTGAATTTTTTTAAACAAGATCCCTTGATTTCTTTCGGGTTGAAATGCCCTCTTTGCTCAACATGTAGTATATATTGTCTAGGTATATGAAGTCATGTCAGATGGTAATGGCCTTTCAGAATGCTGGAATCATTTTCTATATGGATGTGACGGTTTATTCACGAGATAGCTTTTTATATATTAAATTATTTAGTATTTTAATTTTGTATCTCACCGAGGTGTACTCACCTTTTTTATCAGCTGGTTATTATTGTACCCATGTTTTACTGTATTATATGCACATATTATGTAAGTTTGAGGAATACGCACATTTCATGCCCAAATTTGGTACTCTTACTACACCATATAGTAATTGAGCTGCGTTGTAAAAACTTAATTTAGAAAACATTGCTGGCTCCATCATGACGGGCATTAGCCGTGCTAGGCTCATGGGAGATAAGGGCATAGGCGATGCCCCCGAAAGTCACCTATGATAACCGAAACACCGTTCATTCATAAAGTTATCGCGGAAAAACCAAACTTCCACGAAGCAATGCTTAGGGGCGTTGAGGTAGGTGAATAAACTGGATGCGAGGCGGCGTGAGGCATGTGGGAGGGGAGGTTTAGGAACCAATATCTCAGCCTAGGAGTATCGTATTGACAAGCGGTTAGTCTTGTTTTAGACAGCAAAGAATTCTGCTTAATGCAATACCATAAAATTATTCTAGACTCGCAGGCAAAGTAGAATAATGTTGTCGTGAAATAGCACTATTTTCCCGTTTTTCCGTTGTACACTCTAGGTATTATTAGCTCTTGATTAAAGGGATAGTAGACTCTAGGATTTTACTGCATACAACTGTACTTACTGTATAACAAATCTTCTATACCCACACGTATTTGTTACCAGATACCTAATTTAATTGTTATAATTATTTACACATCAACGCTACGAAATTTGAATGGCGCCATGACACCCGCGACCATGCTGCCACCCCGAAAAAGTTGTGTATTTGACAATTTATTTTGCACGTTACAGACCGAGGGCTAATCACAAAAGTGCAATTATATTTATACCTAAATGCTATTTAACCGAACGATATTCATTTTATGGCAAATTTATTCATATTATAACTGAAACTATATGTCGTTTATAAGATATTACAATCCTTTTGCTTTTAAATTAATAAATAAGAAACACCCTCGGTCTGTAGCCCTTGGCCTCAGATCGTGTGCTTTGAGTGGCGCCACCGTCGTTGTAATCAAACTGTAGTCGTTAGTTTTACAACATTTTTTAATAATATTTCTAATGGTGATTGAACCATGAAACTTTTTATGTAGCGTAATTTTAACCTAAATTAACTGAAAATAACCCTAGAACCTAGAGTAAACGATCCCTTTAAGTATTAATTAAAGTACATCATTCAGTGATGTAATAGCAGAATTGGAAAGTTGGCTTTTGCTAGATGCCGAAGGCAATATAATTAAGAACAGACGCGACTTTTTCTATTGGTAACATTACTTCGTGCTTCGTGTACAGTCGCTTTAGCTGCGACACGTACCTAGCTCCCAGCGACTCTATCATCTTTGCCGCAGGCGTGTTATCATCAGGTGTATAGAAGCAGATCTCTGATCCATCCGGCACAGCCATTAACACCTGCCTCAGCAGCTGACTCTGTACATGCTCCGTGGCGCCGTAGAGTGGAAAGATTCCACGACTCGTGCCACCAGTCATGTTGATTGCAACCGCATAACCCACGACCTCTCCTTCCGCATCTCTCGCTACGAACGTCGTCTTCTCGTACGCCCGTAAGCAGGGACGCAGGTAGTCTCCGCGGTCGTGCCCGCAGATGGTCCAGTCGTAGTCGATAACATCTTGCAGCATCTCCTCACCGTATGGCTTCACGGTGACGTCGGCATCATCCTCCGGCTTCAGGGATGCTGCGAGCTCGGCGTGGTCGACCGTGTAGTAGCGCAGAGTCCCGACGATGGACTCCGTCGTGAATCCCTTCTTCTTGTAGAAGTCCTTGAGGTGCGTGAAGCAGTCGAGTGCCAGGTTGCGGGGCCCGATGTGCTCAAGCGTGCGTTCGAGCAACGCTGTCCCTATCCCGGCACCTCTCACGTCGTTGCGCACTATGAAGTGGCCGATGAATGCGTTGTCGCCGATCACAGCGCAGTTCAGAAAACCTGCAGTGAGAGACAGTGTAAGAGATTGTCAACGCACAGCGTTGTCTTTTGCGCGGGTTTTTGTTTCGTCGGATTTCTTAAGATATAGCTTGTGGCATGTGTACGTACGGAGTGGTTCCTTGCTAGATGGCACTGCTAGGAAATTTCTGCCCCCTTTTCCTACCTGTGCATTAACTTATTAACCTCTAATGTATTTTTTGCATTAATTAATTATATCTTGCTATTGAGCTTGAATTGCATGTAGCATCTTACTGCTGCTGCTGCTGCTGCTACTGCTGCTGATACTGCTGCTGCTGCTAATGCTGCTGCTACTGCTGCTGATACTGCTGCTGCTGCAAATGCTGCTGCTGCTGCTGCTGTTGCTACTGCTACTACTGCTGCTGCTGCTGCTGCTGATACTGCTGCTGCTGTTGCTACTGCTACTACTACTGCTGCTGCTGCTGCTGCTGCTGCTGATACTGCTGCTGCTGTTGCTACTGCTACATCTGATTTGCATCAGCATGGTACAGCACTTGGTCACAATGCATGCTACGAGGCAGTATATGAGCAGAACATACACGTACCGACTGGTTCCCCGCTAGGCAACACTGCCGTGAAAGCTCCACCGCCTTCACCGTACTTCAGAATGATCTTATGCAGGTCGAGTTCGATGTCCTGTGTGCCTAACAACTTCCACCATCTCAGCACATGTATCAGATCCGACTCGATGGCATCCCTGATCGTACACCCGTCCGCCATGATGCCTCGAATAGTCGGTGTAGCCTTTGACTTCACATTCATATATGATTACAACAGGTGCACATGAACTAGTTTATTTGCGTCAAAAGATAGTTTAGATAGGGAAGCGTACAGTCCATGTAGGGTTATCTCTAGTTTCGGTTCATTTGCATAGCGTGCTCCCAGGCTATCTGGATTAACCTTGTCCTACATTTGCTTTACTCCTGGATCAATAAAGTGACCAATTTATTCACCTCACTTTGCTCCCCTCTCTCTTGTTTGTGCAGGCTTTAGTTATCTCTTCAGGGGTGTATCCAGGATTTTTTCTGGGTGGGTCGTGATCATAATTTTTTGGACCTTTCAACAATGAAATAACAGCAAGATGTGATTAAAATGTCAATACAATTTAATTGAAACCAAAAACTTTTGTTTCCAAAAAAAATTGTCAGTTTTTTAAAACAAGTTTTCTGACTCAGTTGAAAC